GAGTTTTTTGAAAGATAATATTAAAGGAAATCGCATTTTAAAATAACTAGTTTTACTAAGATTTTTATGAAGATGAATGATTGGTATAACTTCTTACGACAGTTATATTTTCAAAAAAAATTTAAAATTGTACTATCCTCTGGATTCATTGATGAAAAAAAATATTTTGAATATTAGTGTTTCAAATTTTTTTTTTTTTTGTACAACAGAAAGGCAATTTTATACCACTTTAATTATTCATATCATTATGAACACATGTCAAAAATGATAATTTAATTTCCTTTAAAAAGTGAGTTTTAGGTTTGAATAATAATAATTTTAAGGCTTGCCTTACAATCTTATATTACGTGTCAAAAACTAAATGGCAGTCCATTTTAAACATCGCATTTTTGCTTTAAAAGCTGACCAGTAGTTTGAGTAAACTTGGCGATCCGGGGAATATGGGGATATAGTCATAACACGTTATACTTGAAAAGGTACAAATTTGAAATATCTTAACATATATTAAAACTTTAACTACTTAAGAGATACAGGTTTGTATTGCATGAAGATCTTATCAATCAAAAGTAATCGATTGCAATACATAGTTGCAGTTTCGCTTTCAGTCTGTTTGTACGTAAGTTCTTCATGGTCTAACATTGTTTCCAGTCACTAATCGTGTTTTTTGGAAATTTTTCCAATAAAAATGACGGGATTGAAATATTTACAAATCCTTTTGGATTCAAACGGCAATGAGTATACAAGGGGAGACACAGCCCATTATAAAAAGGGAAAAGGGGGAATGTGTTTTAAAATCAGTTCGTTTTTGGGGCCTTTAAAAAGTATATGATCTAAAAAAAAGTATAACAAAAAACATGTAACCATGTTTTTTTTAGCCTATTTTAATTCAATATAAACCCTTTTCTTGGGGAGTTTAAAACATAAAGTTTTTTTTGATCCCCTTTCCTTTTCTTGGGAAGGGCCATTTTTATTAATTGATCTTTTTCTTTCGATAATATGGGAAATAGGTTGTTTATAAAATTGGAAAATGCTGGTCATAAATTTTTTTAAAAAAAATTTTAAAAAGAAACCTCAGGGGGAAAAAAGTTTTTTGAGTCTTAAAATTTAAATTCCCAAAGGGGTTTTCGTTTAATTTTACCCGCCCAAAGCAAAATTTGGTTCCCTTTCCCCGGGGGGGGGGATGCCAGGAACGCGGGGAAAATAAACTAAGATTTTTTATTCCCCCTGTCCCCCCAAATACCCGGGTAAAAAGGCGGTTTTTTTTTGAATGAAAATTTTCTACTAGCGTTTATGGGGGCATTTGAAGCGGATTTTCAATTTATTGAAAAGTTTAAAGTCCTTACACAATTTAACATAATACCCGGGTAACATAAATTAGGTTATTAAATTTTGAAAGGGAGGGGAATTAATTACTACTTTAAACTAATGTACTGCAGGCAATTTTCCATTTCTTGGGTTTTCAAAAAAGAAAAATTTTTTAAAACCCTGCGGAAAGGTTTTCAAAAGTTTGGTTAAAATCCCCTTTAAACCCACGCGGGTTTTTTTCTAAACAAATCAAACTTGTTGCTTTTTTGAGTTTTTTTAGAAAATTATAATAGTTTTTTTGTTGTTAATAATTTATTGTTTACAAGAATAGTGTAAATTAGTTTATAAGTCGAACACTATGCGTTTACATTTAATCAGGTAGAACCTTATGATTATAATGGGTTTGTTCAAGTTCTTCAATTATTACGTTTTGCATTTTTATTGCTATATAGAGAATGATAAACGTGGATATAGACACGTCTATCCGAGTAGCGTAGTGGTAAAAGATTTCAGATTGTAAAGAATATGTGTATATGAATGTGTGTATAACTAAATGTTCTCAAATAGCATTGTTTGAATGAAATTTTCGGGGATGTAAAATCCAGTTTGTCGTAAAAACAATCAAACTATAAACAAACATTTAAAATAAAGAAAAAAATGCCTTTTTTCAGGATCTCTACACTCATAGAGTGAACACTCTACCACTACGCCATTTATATGCTTAACCCATTACGCCATATACATGCCTTTTAACGCCTTTTTCAGCCCCCCCCCCTTCTGTTGTCTCAAATGGTGAAAAAATGCCTTATTTAGACCACCAACATTTGTTTTTGTTTGAGAAATGTTGCTTAAAAAAGTGAGCACTTTTTCGGCGCGGCCCCCAACCAAAAGAATCATCAGGAGGTTGCAAGAAGGGGGATGTGCCCCCTTCTGTTTGGGGGGGGTTAGAAGGGGGCAGTAGTCCGCCTCATCGCCAAGCAAATTTTGGACTTGTGAGAGGCTAAAAATGACCCCAGAATGATTATAAGGTAACGTGTAACCAATGCTGAAAAGCATTTGACTCTATCTCAATCCATTGATAAGTTGCAGCACTTTGAAATCATATTGATGGAAAAAATCAACGCAAAATAGTGTTTTTTGGCAATTTTGAGATGTCCCCTCGTTGCCATGGTAACAGAAAATTTAAGCCTGAGCATGTTGTTGCAGTAAACATTTGTGCCCCGTTTGATTAGTATTAAAGCGGTTTTTTTGTTTTATATCAATTTGAACTTGTAACGGGAGACTTTTCAATGAAGTAATGGGTTAACGCTATAAAAATGAGTGATTGATTAGGTGGTAAAAGATTTAAGTGATGAATAGTACACTTTTATATAAGAATTATCGACACCCTATTTGTCAATATTGATGTAAACAGATAATGAAAGGAATAGCGAATTCGAGCTGTAAGCTCCACTTACCGGATGTCTTCTTTTGGTAATACAATTTTTCCATAGCAGAAGACGAAATTGTAAAAAGAACAGCGGCTTGTTTCTGTCAACCTGGGGAAGACAAGGTACGTAACATATTAAAGCTATTAAAATGTTGTATATGTATTTTACTTCAAACACGGCGTTTTCTACAACAACAACAATAACCGAAAGGGTAATGACAAAGTATAGCAAATTTGAACAAAGTAGTATTCTGACTTCCATACAATAATGTCAAATGATTTTATATTCAGTGCTACTTTTTCGCGCCTATCATGCTCTAAAATCGTTATTTAATTATTTTTAAACTCATGTTTGCCCTTTCTAAAGATGGAAATAAATATTCGTTTTCGGGCCTTAATGTGCCTTTAAGTTTCCATTTTTCATGACCTTTTCTTTGTCATAATCTATGTCGGTTAGAACTCGCATAGAATTTTTTTGCAAACTTATACTTGTGATAGATTTACTGATTTCCTGGTGTTTTTTGTTTTGTTTTTTTTGTTGTTGTTTTTTGTTTTGTTTTGATTTAGCTCACCAGAGTCGAAGGCTCAGGGTGAGCTATTAGTATCAAACGGCGTCCATTAGTATCAAACGGCGTCCATCGTCATGCGTCATCAATCGTCTTCTTCTCTGAAACTACTAAACAAATTTACTTCAAATTTGGTCTGTAGCATCCTTGTGACAATTACACTTGAATTTGCTCATGTCATTCCAATGATTCCTTTTAGGGGCCAGCAGAGCTAAAAATAGAAAAACCTGTAAACACATCCTCTTCTACAGAACTAATTGATGTATGATCACCAAACTTTGTCTGTAGCATTCTTGGGTAGTCTTTTATCAAGTTTGCTCATATTAGTTTGATTGGCCCCTTTTAGGGGTCTCTAGGGCTAAAAATAGAAAAACCTTTAAACATCTTCTTCTACAGAACTAATTGATGGATGATCACCAAAATTTGTCTGTAGCATTCTTGGGAAGTCTTTTATCAAGTTTGCTCATATGAATTTGATTGGCCCCTTTTCGGTGCCGCTAAAGCTAAAAATAGAAAAACCTTTAAACAGCTATTTCTAGAGAACTAATCAATTGATGATCACCAAACTTTGTCTGTAGCATTCTTGGGTAGTCTTTTATCAAGTTTGCTAATATTATTTTGATTGGCCCCTTTTAGGGGTCTCTAGGGCTAAAAATAGAAAAACCTTTAAACACATCTTCTCCTACAGAACTAATTGATGGATGAGCACCAAACTTTGCCTGTAGCATTCTTGGGTAGTGTTTTATCAAGTTTGCTCATATTAATTTGATTGGCCCCTTTTAGGGGCCGCAGAAGCTAAAAATAGAAATACCTTTAAATGTCTATTTCTAGAGAATTAATTGATGGATGATCACCAAACTTTGTCTGTAGCATTCTTGGGTACTCTTTTATCAAGTTTGCTAATATTATTTTGATTGGCCTCTTTTAGGGGCCGCTAAAGCTAAAAATAGAAATACCTTTAAATGTCTATTTCTAAAGAACTTATTGATGGAAGATCACCAAACTTTAAGTTTAGCATTCTTTGGTACTTTTTTATCAAGTTTGCTCATATTAATTTAATAAGCACCTTATAGGGGCCTCTATAGCTAAAAAAGAAATACCGTTTAATGTCTATTTCTAGAGAATTAATTGATGGATGATCACCAAACTTTGTCTGTAGCATTCTTGGGTACTCTTTTATCAAGTTTGCTAATATTATTTTGATTGGCCTCTTTTAGGGGCCGCTAAAGCTAAAAATAGAAATACCTTTTAATGTCTATTTCTAAAGAACTTATTGATGGAAGATCACCAAACTTTAAGTTTAGCATTCTTTGGTACTTTTTTTATTAAGTTTGTCATATTAATTTGATAAGTCCCTTATAGGGGCCTCTATAGCTTAAAAAAGAAATACCGTTTAATGTCTATTTCTAGAGAATTTATTGATGGATGATCACCAAACTTTGTCTGTAGCATTCTTGGGTAGTTTCTTATCACGTTTGCTCCTATGAATTTGATTGGCCCTGTTTAGAAGCCGCTTAAGCTAAAAATAGAAATACCTTTAAATGTCTATTTCTACAGAACAAATGGATGGATGATCACCAAACTTTGTCTGAAGCATTGCTGGGTAGTCTTTTATCAAGTTTAAAAATGGATATTTATTCTGTTCTGATCTGTTTTTTTCTTTCCTGTTCTGATCTGATCTGGTCGGATTTGTTCAGCAATGCGTTCAGTTAGGATTTACGTAAGCCAATCACAGCGCACGTATGTAACTAGCTAATCGAACGACCCGTTTGCCGCTCACGTTTAAAACAGAATTCAAGATGGCGGAGCATACAGCATTATTGTCAATATTAGTGGAAGAAATCGCTGAGGACACATTAATGGAGCGTATTCAGAGCAATATTTCAGTTGCTTCTGATTCCATTCATGTTGGTTCAAGTAAGTTTTAAAAAAACTTGTCTTAAATCTTGTTGGCTATTCGATAATTTACTAATGTTCTTCCTAAATCAGCGGGTGAAGTGTCAACTCGGTCCTATACCAACTCGGCACAGGTCAACTCGGCCCTCAATAAAAATACAAATACAACATAAACATATTAATTTTTTTGATTACTTTATGAATTGGTGCATAAACTTAAACATATATATTTTCATTATGAAAGTATATCAGTGAGAATTGGTATCTTCTGATCCCCTGTGAATGCTTTTTTTTTGTTCTTCAAGTTTCAATATATTGTTTGCATCTTGGGTGAAAGTAATAAAAATTAATGCTGATTATGAAACCACGTTCAACTCTTAAAATTATTAATGTAGGTGCTGCACTGAGTCTAGTCAGAGACATGATCCGAGATCCAGTGAGAGTTGAAGGATATGTTCCGGATGTGGTGAACCATTATTCAGACATAGAGTTCAAGTCCCATTTCCGCATGAAAAGGTCAACATTTGAGGTAAGCTTTTTTTTATTTTAGTCACATTAATTAGAAATTGTTTCAATGTCAGAAATTTTTTATTTGTTGATTAAAACATTTCATACTTATTAAGTTTCCTACTGTTAACTGTGGCATGTCAAACTTGTGTCAAAATATTGAAAGACAAACTTCAGTTGATGATTTATTTTATATGGAACATTGGATGCAATACCAACAAGGACTTCTACAAGTTAAAACACATTCTTTTCTTCAAATTACTTGAATGGCTTGTCAATAAGTGAAGTATGAATAACAGTATAGTATGATGGGTTGCCTTATCTCTCAAATTTATATAGGCTTACATTTATGCTTCAGCAATTATGTACAGATGTTGCACCATACATGAGAAGGGAAAGAACAATGAAATTGGAAACAAAAATGTTAGCTACGTTGTGGATGCTTGGCAATCTAGAATGTTACAGAAGTGTGGCTGACCGTTTCGGGATCAGTAAAGGTAAGCTTTTCTAGAAATAAACAATAAGAAATATTTTAATGCTTTCAATGTTCATATTTATTTCCTACGTATATGTTATTGCTAGTGTCCATCCGCGCTGTTCTACAGAAATTAGAAACTTTGACGGGAGCAGTAGTTTCTTATTTCTGTAGAATGGCTATGGATGAATACTAAAATACAAAATTCATGCAGAGTAACCTTTTGACGTCATTTTTACTTAATTAATATTCAAAAGCGGCACATGAAAGCGCATGTGCAAATTTGTGCAAATGACTATTTTAACAAACACATTTCTATGAAGCACTATGAAAAACAGAAGTCGACTATGAATAGAATTTGAGATAGTATCGACTTTTGTACTATTGTAAAATTATCACACATTTTTTTGAAGAAATACAGGGTTTCCATTAGATGACAAATAACGTTAGATACTAAACAATTTTATCATCCCATGCACAATGAATATATGAGGGATTTCCAATTCAAACATTAAGGGATTTGTTAAAAAAATACAAATTTTAGCATTTTTTTTAGAGTATTATTAGTTAGATAATATAGTATTAAATACTCAGTAGAAAAGGAATAAATAAAATGTTGATTTTTTCTAAGAGATAAATGTACTTGACTTGCAAGGAGCTTCTTTTATTTCATTGTTTTAAGATTATGTACATTCATGTATGTAATCTAATATATTATATAATCAGAATCTAATAAATGTGTTATACCAAACAAGGTATATCAAACCTGTAGTATATCTAGTGAGGTTTATATTTTTTTCTTTCTTCCAGGAACACTTCATCTGACTGTTATATCAACATGCAAAGCTATCTCATCATTAAAGACTGATTACATCAAATTCCCAGAGAATCGCACAGAAATGGACGCAATAGCTGAGGGATTCCACAAGAGATGTGGAATGCCGGGAGTAGTCGGTGCAATTGATGGAACCCACATTCCAGTCCCAGCTCCTACTTCTGAGCATAGAGCATCATTCATTAACCGTAAAGGGTTCTCCAGTATTCAACTCCAGGTTGTGTGTGACAGTAATTTAAAGCTATTAGACACTTACACAGGATGGCCTGGTTCAGTACATGATGCCAGAGTTTATAGAAATAGCCCAGCTGATCTGTTCTTGTCTGTGCAACCAATCTGCACATCCGTTACGCATGGATTAAGGTGTTGTCGCCATTTACATTTGCTAAAAGAAACTAAAACTTCCCATTGTTGCTAGAAGAAATAAGTATCATATGTAATATTTAAAAGATGATGTCAACTGGGAGCAGACGTTAAAAAGTAAAGGTCATAGAATACATTACAGTATATTAACCATATGTTTTGAATAATTCTAACTTAAAATTTTAAATTGTATATTGCTAGTTTTCGAACTGCTCCGGGTTTCGGTGACAGAATGAAAAAAATCAAATGACTGAATGAGCAATCGATCGATCGATCAATCAATCAATCAATCAATCAATTTGAATTAACAATCGATAAATCATCAACTGAAACATCAAACAACCACAGCAGCCAAAAATCAATCAATCAATCAATCAAATATACGATACCTCAATTCATTCATTCATTCATTCATTCATTTATTTATTTATCTATTTATTTATTTATTTATTCATTCATTCATTCCTTCATTCATTCATTCACTCATTCATTCAATCAATTAATTAATTAATTAGTCAGTCAGACAGTCAGTAAGTTAAACAACCAACCAACAAACAGAGCAAAATAATATCAACTCATCAATAAAGTAGTTAATAGATCATTCAATGTTTATCAATCAATCAATCAATCAATCAATCAATCAATCAATCAATCAATCAATCAATCAATCAATCAATTAGTAGATAGGTTAACCACATTATCCCAATAATAATGACCTGTGCGGATCATTAACGAAAGCTGATGTTTTACAAAAGTTACGATCGAAAAATGCGTTTGGTAAATTTTTCACGCTAATGCTGCTCAGAACATATGAGCCGCGTCACGACAAAACCAACATAGTGCGTTTGCGACCACCATGGATCCAGACCAGCCTGCGCATCTGCGCAGTCTGATCAGGATCCATGCTGTACGCTTACAAACTCTATAACAATTAGAGAAACCGATAGCGAACAGCATGGATCCTGATCAGACTGCGCGGATGCGCAGGCTGGTCTGGATCCATGCTGGTCGCAAACCCATAATGTAGGTTTTGTCTTGACATGGCTCATATTAATTTGTGTTGTGAGGGTAAAGGCTGAATTGCTCCATACTGGTATGTCACAAAAGTTTTATTTTGCAGTACAGCCCATACTCATGCGCGCCCATCTGTACATACTAATAAAATGTTGTTACTTTTATATGTGTTTAATGAAGAGAAGAACAATGTGTAGCATACGTTGGTCAGCTCAGAACTGACGATTTATTCGAGACAAGCCCTTAACAAAGATTCACGAGCATATCAATTTGTGATTGGTCATTATAATTATACATTCGGGTGTGAGGGGGTTAGTTAATCATGTGATATGAGATACTATTTATAAACATCAATACATGACAATGAGTAAAGGTTGAACACAACTAAATTAGAGCTAATACGAAACATCTTCCCCCTTTAAGTTGAAATTTCACAATGTTGATAAATCAATATTTTTAGATAAAATTTCAAAACAGATTATACAAAGTTGTCAAAATGTCTTTAGCACTAAACATTTGTTTAATACCTTAAAATCTTTCGAACTAGCATAATGTCATTATATTGAACAATTAAATGTCTGTTAAAACACTTATCAAATTCAAATCAAATATCAAATGTCTGTATCAGTCTTTAGCTCGTATTATGAAAGCTATATATAGAACACCATTTAATTCAATTAAACTTAAGTTACAAGGTCATCATAAGTCTTTGGCTTCACAATACGACCACTCCTCGTCACAACCGGAAGTTTATCGTCATTGGTAACTAACTCTGGCTCAACCGTAATATTTTTTGGAACGGGGAACTAGTTGGGAAAGCTTATTAAATAATTCTTTTCATAAAACATTTTCCCTGAACAGTTTTGTAAGGGGATTATCCCCCTTTGGTGTTAATTTAAATTTTTAAATTTCTTGGGTTAAGAAACCTCTGGGAAATTTTCCCAACAATAAAATTGTTTCCTCCCAAATTACGTCTGTTTTTTAATAAATTTCCTTTAGAAGAATGCCCAAATGATTTATCAGTATCATTCTTGACCCCTGACTTTAAATTCGCCGGGAATTAAAAATTAAATTTCAGTTGGGCCTGGTCCCAATTGCGTTGGGTTTTGTAATTGGCCCAAATAACTTTCCCTTATATTTCCCACCCCGGGGAAAAACGCGAAATAAATTTCGTTCCTTTTCCAAATTTTTGGGTTTGTTAATGTTAAATAAAAAGGTAGGTAATAGTTTTACAAAATTTTCCCCCCCATAAATCATTTAAAGCTGGCTAAGCCCCCGTTGCCTCATTTGGGTTAAAACGATGGGCCATTAATGCTGCAAACCTTTCCCCCTCTTGGGCCCCCGAAAATACCCTTTTTCGCGTTTTTAAAAAGAAACTTTCACCCCTAAACAAGACTGGGGGAAAATTTGGGGAAAATTAGAAAATGTCGCCCTAAAACTTACTTCTTGGGCAAATAAATTTAAATTCAGCCGATGTGAATTAAAGTACCGTTATGGGTTTTCAAGTTTTCCCGGGAAATTTTCCCCACAGCGAAAAAAATTTTTTTTTCATTTTGCCTTTTTTAAAATTTTTCCCCCTTGTTAAGTTTTCCCAAAAATTAAGAAATTTTTAAATTTGAACCAAAGAGTAAAAAGTCAAGTCACTACGAAGAATAATGTTTTTCGATCTAGTTCGCACAAAATCTGCTGCTAAATTTTCTGCCAAGGTCTAATCTGGTAAAGGTGTAACTTTTCAAAAGGCCCTCTTTACACTGGTAGGTCTATTAACTTGGACAGAATTCACCCAAGAATTGAAGTTTCTCTTGAATATCTTTTCGAGATACCTGGCCACCAAACAGTTTGACTGAGCTCTAGCACCCGGCCTTTTTGAGTCCCAAATGACCTTAAATGAATGCTATTTAAAGACATCAGATCCTAATTTTGTTTTGGAAACAACAACAATTCTGTCCTCGATAAAGTTTAACAAGTCCCCTTGCTCCCGCAATAGATAAATTCACTACGGAAGAGCGATGCGGAAATATATCATTGAAGTTCGTATTGTAAAGGGAATTAACTTTACTCGGGGCAAACCGTAACGAGTAATTTAATTTATTAGCCTCTTGTAATAAATTGGATATTTCCAAAGCTGTGCGAATCTTGTTCCAAGCGCGAATCTCCAATTGGTTCTAAGTTTGTCTTTACTGCGATTAATGTATAAGCTTCTCAACTTCCTCTTTCATTGTCATTAAATTTTGTCAACATTTGTCCCCAGCCGACAGGACTTCTAGACAGTGTATAGGAACACTAAAATTTTTTCCCAGGTACAATACTCTTGCTAATTAAAAGCTATAACCACGAAGGGCCTTAAATTTAGCAATACGCTGACATTCTTAAAGAAGTGTTTTATCTTAAAAATATTGAAGTTGTTTTATAAGAGGAAAACTAATGGTTGGATTTAATCGGAAAGTAATCTGAAACGAGTCCCCAAACCTAAACTAGATAACGTGAAAAACTTTTCAACAAGCATATTTAACCGAGGCTAGACATTTTCCTTTCCAAAATTTGTGCGTAAAATTTCAGTTCGGGCATCTGTAAGTTTACGCGAAAGTATGCAACAGGGTTTAAAGCAAACCATTATCGGTCCAAAAAATAAAGCCCCCTAAAACCGTAATTGCTCGAATCTGCACTTGAGACAACTATGGGTTTTTGTCGCATCATAGAATGTTAAGTGGGAACTTCAAATAATTATATCCCTTTTCAGTGGTTTTAAACGCACGACTTTCTTGAAATGAATCCCATACCCAGAGTTTTGATCCTTTCAGTAAATCCGTCAAACGGTTTAAAATAATATTGGCGAGATTCGGGAATAAAATCTACCTAGATAATTCAACACCATTACCAAATTACTCGGACGGAGTTTCAGTGATGTTTGTTCCCGGTGGGGCCCCATAATTTCTGATAGCATCACTCTGGCTGAGTTTGGCTTTTAATACCATTCATTTGAAATAATTTAAATGTCCCGAAATATTCAAATATGATCCTTTGCGAAAAATTCACACTTACTGCGATCAATATAAAATTTAAGTCCCGGATTATGTATTCTATGAAAGAACAACTGTTTTCAAGTTCTCATTCATGCTGCTTTCTGATCCTTGCCCATCACAAGCACGTAATTTCCAACAATGAACCCTTACCCCTTTAAGGTCATACTTAAAATTCGAACATTAATGTCCCCTTGAAAAATTTTCAGGGTGCTGATGTTGATACCGAAATGGGAAATCCGTTTGAAACAGTAAACGACCCATAAAGGCCGTAATGAAATTTGTAAGTTTCGCACTTTCACTGTTTTCAATGGAAATCTTGAATAAAACCCACTAGAAGCAATCTAACTTGGAAAACATTGTAAGATCCTTTAAATTCAGGTGAAATATCATCAAGATTGGGGAGCATAAATAATGTTCAACCGTTTCACTGCATCATTTAAAATTTTTTCAAAATCAAACATATTAGAATTTCAACACCGTTTTTTCTTTAGCCAACTGGTTACCATGGGTTGCACACCAATCCGTTGGGGTGTGTTAATCACTTTTTCAAAAATAAACCTTCTTGTCTAATCTTAGCAAGCTTCGGATTCAACTTTCGGGAAAGCAGTGGAAATGGAATTCTTTACGCGCGGCTGTTGTTAAACTGTATGGGGTTACAGTCCTCTTTAAGAGTTAAAATTTTTAACCTGGGTCAACTTGAGTAATCCAAAAAAGGCCCAAATAACCCCTTGATCAATTTCAACAAACAATCTACTTTGTGTCAATTAGATTCATTTGTTCAGGCCAACTGAAAGACTGAGAAAATTGCTTACCAAGTTGCTCCATTGAATGGACAATGAATAAAATGTGTATCTTTTCCCCCTTTATTGTAGTTCAGCATTAAAAACATTCCAATAACAAATCCAGTCTTTTACACAACCTGGTCCTAATAGGGGAACCAAGTGATGGTTTTTCAAATCTCAAAATCTCTATTTCAGTTTTTTAAGCGGAAAATAAGTGTCCACTACTGGAATTAAAC